AATGGCAGGCGTTGTGAAAGTTATCATTAGATCTTTGGTTGACTTCAGGCTTCACAGAGGAGGAGGAACATCAAAGTGAAACAAGTCGAGAGGGAGGGGGGGAACAGAAGAGAGTTTCAAAGATGTAAAAGAGACGGACACATAAGTGGAAAAAGGTGAGGTGAGTACTGTGGAAGTAGTCGAATATGACATACAATAGGGTGAGGGTAGTTTGAAGTCAGAAGTCTACTGCCCGTTAATAGACTTTTTTGCCGTATGAGTATACGTTGCCCAGGGTGCACCACATGGAGGTAAGTCTATCGCACACCCCGGAATAATCCTAAAAGCAGCCTTTTCGGAGTATTTGGAAGAGCCTTAAGCTATTTACCATCGTAATAGACTATGCATTTTGATTCGTTTACTTATTTTTTTTCTAACAGCGTTCCTACGACTACCTGACAGCCACTTACATGATCATGGAACGAATACTGGATGAAGAAGACGTTCTCCTTGTTCTTCAACGTCCAAAAGCCGAAGGCGGCGGTGGAGGAGGAGGCTCCAGGCGCACAGTCAATAAGGAGCCACAGCCATCTCGATCCAACCCGAATGTTACCAGTGGTGCTGAAGAGCAGACGGCAAAATCCGCCTTGCAAGGAGCTGTTGCCGCCTCTACTCCTAGCACTCCCGCTCCTACACAGCACTCCTCGCGTCAAACACATAGAAAACCTCGTCCGACCATCTTCAATCCAGCAAATATGCCCGCGGATGCCGCCTGCAGCACACCAAGACGACCTGTGTCGACTCTTGATGAATCGACTTCTACTCCAGCTCCTCATCAAGTGAGTGTGTCTGGTCATGCACATTAATTTTGCCTTTAACGATGTTTTAAACATGTGTTATTTCCCACCATTCAAATTAAAAGGCAGAAATTTGTGCTATTAGCATAAGATGTTTGCATAATTTTTCATGGGATTAAAAGCTATCACTTTGCGTACTTTTAAATTGGTCTCATTTTTAATATTGCATTTATAGGGGCTATTTTTTTGTTCATGTCAGTAGCGTATGACTTCTCAAACCTAATTATGGGTATTAAATACGGGGCATGTAGAGGGCACAGTGTAAACGCGAGGCTTTGCATTCAACTTGAATCAGTCATGTACCGATGGTTAAAGTTTCTTGCAAATCATTATCGAGTTTGCAATAATAGATTTTGGTAGTCAGTAGTCTAGTCTTTCCTAACTTCACATTTATGCTGATATCATTTCCAGGTTGGTCAAATTTTGAACAGGTGGAGATGTTTACATGAAGTTGATTTTCATTCACTCTCTAGAATCCTCCAACCGCCTTTCCATCGACTCTTGGGGATAATTCTGCTAATAGACTAGTTTTCTGATAAAACCCATCGTTTGTCCACCACATTGTCCTTAATCTCCTCCATTTCGTGTTCAACATTGAAAAGAAATGCCCATTTTCCATCTGCTTGAGTATTACTAAATCAGCGGCTGCACGTCTGTGTCTCACACGTCTACTCTCAGCTTTGAAGGTTCGATTAAAAAGTATAACAGTTTTGTCATCGACAAACTCCTAACTACTCTGAATAATTCATTTATTTATAACAAATGGCAGGCGTTTCGATAGTTATCATTAGCGCCCTAGTTGACTTCGGGCCTCACAGAGAGGAGGAGGAACATCAAAGTGAAACAGACGAGAGGGGGGAACAGAAGAGTGTTTCAAAGATGTAAAAGAGACTGACACAAAGGCAGAAAAAAGGTAAGATGAGCACTGTGAAAGGAGTCGAATATGACACAGTCAGTAGGGTGATGGTAGTTTGAAGTGAGGAGTCAACTGCCGGTTAATAGACTCTACTTCCGTATGAGTACACATTGCCCAGGGTGCACCATGTGGAGGTGAGTCTATCGCACACCCCACTACTCTGAATAAAGTGTTAACAGACATGTACTTCTCGGGATTGAACCTGTGGATTAGCTTTTCACAGTAAAGTTAGAGGTCATTGACTGAAAGTCAACTAGTGCATGCCCAGTGTGTGAAATGACCAACCAAGTATAAGAGTGGGATTTTCTCACCAATGAGGACCCATGCTGCTTCTTACCTGACCAAGATGTGGGTTACAAAACGCCTTCCTCAATGCGCATAGTAGGTAAAACTCTGTTCCCTCTCTTTCAACCACTGCCTTATCCAATCGGCTAACTTACATCCTCTGTCGTCTTTGGAAGTCCTTTTGCCCCGTTATGGTTATTAATGACTGGACCATTGTCTTAGGGTTTTTTTTCGAAATTGACTACCCCCATGGTTGTTAAAACTTCGGGAGCGTTAAGGCGACATTTGGCGCGCCGTTACCACAGCCTCTCATTCATATGCGCCTATGTGCTAGTATGTGAAACCAACTTGGCCCGAACATCGGATGAGTCATTCTTGTGTGCGAGATTGGCCTATACGCCAATCAGTCACTTTGATCTGGACACGTCATGTGCTTGAGATACGTCTCGTCGCCCTTCTAGCTTGTCTGACTTATTCTTCTCCNCAAATGAATAATTAATTCGATTTGGTTTTATTACAACCTGGTCTTTGTGAGCTTGGAAATAAAGTGTCAATGTGCAATGGTCTACTAAATGGAATTCAAATGGTTAATAAATTGTGACCTTCCTCATGTAATAAGTCGAAAGGATAATAATGAGCGCCGATTTGGAGGGCAAGCCTAATTTATGTTGTCTGCGAATGGAGGGAGAATGAGACATCATACGAAGTGCCTTATAAGGTCAAAACAATTATCAAAATTAATTTGTTTTGTTATTAACAAATCTTGTGCAATGATTAGTGTAATATTCTGTACTTTGACAACTTTGACAGCACATGAATGATACTCTTCACGTTTCAGGTTGTGATTAAATTTTAATAGACACTATTGATGTGGAAAAATGAACAGAATCTCAAAGCTAAAGAACGATTTATGAAATGTCAGCTTAATTTCACCAAATTCAATTTCCAACCGCATAGACTTTAGTAAGAAGATAGGCGGGACTTAGATAAGTTGAAAGACATTTGGCATCAGTTTGGACCCTAATGAAACTGGAAGGTGGAGACACAGGGAAAGGTCTGTTGTGATTCGAATTGTGTCGCTACAAGTTTGAATGTTCAACTCATATTCACTAAAAATTGGAAATGAACGTTAATAAAAGATGAATTCTTCAAGCATTGAAATATTTTGGATGAGACAAGGCGAAATCAATTTATTGTCAAACGTGTGTTTTCAATCTGTTTTTCCACGCTCAGGGTGAAACTAATTAGTAGCAACATGGGAAGAATGCAAACGACCGCGAAGGCACTTGAAGGCCAACTATATTTAAGACATCGGTGGGTAAATTAAAGTACTCCAATAAATTATTCTAAATGAAGAATTGAGAACGCATCTAATTTATCAGTAATTCAAGATTATCATATATGAATTTGAAATCCGAACCTAGGCATAATTATTGTTATATATTGTATGTATTTTAATAAACATGATTGACGTTATATGTGTATAGTTACATTTGCACAAAATGCTTCAAATGTATACCTGACAAAAAGTATAATTAATTGGCCTGTGATAGTAGTGAATTAATAATTTACCATGAAAATGTCAATAATCTTTAATTGCTTAAAAAATCCTATTAAATAAGATCGACTTTTCATTAAATTGTTAAATTGAAACTGTATTCGAGTGCAGTTAAGAGGCCTAGAATGAAGCCTTTTGGGGTCATTTGCACTCGATCAACCTAAATAGTACTTGGCTAACTTTCTTAACCTCTTCATATACAATGCCGTGGGTGTGTCAAAGGCAACCAAAACATAAATCTATCTGACGAATCGTGAAACTTGAACCCGTGTGTACTAGATCAAGAGTTTCAACCGCGGAGACATAGTTAGGGACAGAGATGATTGGCAGACATGTTGTTGGTCAATTGGCATCAAATTAAGCACTAATTACTTCTGCAAGTTACATGGCCGAGAAACATACTTACTGATAAGTAATTTAACGTGTCAATTTAAAATAAATGATTTTAATCATTGAAATACGACATGCAAATCCAAAAAGTTGAAGGTATTTAAAGTTAGAGGATGTTAGTATTTCTTTGCTTTGAAAAACAATAGATTAGAGTGTATNGTATAGAGTGAATCCGCCTACAAAAAAGGCAATGACTTAGTTGGCAACCCAATAATTTTTTACCGTGGAAATGTCAATAATCTTAAATAAGATCGACTTTTCATTAAATTGTNATGTGTATTGTCTAACTTAATTGAACAACCGACTGGACGTCAGTAGACTATTGCCTTTCTTGCTGGAAGGTCATCTGGACCTGGTTTTTGAAGCTTTTGATGACTTCCCAATGAATTGAGTTCGAAAGCTTGGGATCTCAAAATGACCCCCCCCCCATTTTACCGATATGTCCCTTGAGTGGTCAAGATACCTTGAGGTAAGTGAGGTTCCCTGGACAGCATTGTTAACTCAGCAACTGATCTATTTAAAGGAACTTAAGGTTGAAATAAACTTTCGATTATCTAGAAAATGTTTTTTTATAAGTTCAGCGTTTATATGGCAGTCATTTGGCCTGTCGATACTCAGTGAATACTCATTGTCCTTTTATAATACAGTCCAAATTACCTATAAACTTAAGAACTTTTTACAGTGACTAACTTGGAAGAGGGAAGGCGTTCCGGAATCACCTTTGTGGGAAGCTCACTTTCTTCCATCCCTCTTATCCTGAATTAATCATTATTATTATTATTATTTCAAATGGCAGGCTTTATGATATTTATCATCAGCCCCTTATTTGAATTCTGCTTTCCCCATGNCAAAAAGTTGAAGGTATTTAAAGTTAGAGGATGTTAGTATTTCTTTGCTTTGAAAAACGATAGATTAGAGTGTATTTTAGTAAACTCAATTGGGCCTTAAGCTTGTTTATTACCCATTAATTTTGGTGTAAATTGAATTGTACTCTTAGATTTTGCACTCAAGTAATCCTTTTTAAGTTACGCTTAAAGGGAATGTCTCCTAAAAATATCTAAAATTAGATATTAAAACTGAAGCATTACAAATATGATAATAACCTGTATTAGGAGGATTGGAAAAAAACATATTTAAGTTCATATAACATTACTTGCTCAAAATTTATTAATATGAATGTCATATTGCTCTATAATGCTGGTAATAAGAGCAAAATAATTGGGACAAAATTGATAGTTTTGCTATGATTCTAGAGTACTTGAAAGATTAAAATTTAAGCCTATTCTTCTAATTGAACTGTTTATTTGTTCCAAGGCAAAGACGTACGCAAAGAACACCATTTGCTCGTAAAAATGTTTATATGTAGGCATTAATCAACATTGATGGAAACCTATCTGTCAACTGCTTCATTTTCATTTACTAAGATGCGTGTACTCCTTTAAGATAAAAATCTACCTCATCGCAATAGTTATTTGTTTCAATAAATAAATAAATATTTATTTATTTCAAATGGCAGGCGTTTTGATAGTCATCATTAGGCATTTAGCTGACTTCGGTCTTCACAGAGAGAAGGAGGAACATCAAAGTGACAAAAAGTCAAGAGGGGGGGGGGACAGAATAATGATTCACAGATGTAACAAAGACAGACAGGCAAAAAGTCAGAGAAAAGGTAAGATGAGTACTGTGGAAGGGGTCGAACATGGCATACAGTATTTTGAGGTGAAATGTTGATGAGTAAATAAATTTTCTTTTGCATTGGAATTCCTTTGCCTCAATTAAATACTTCACTAAGAAAAGAGCGNAGCATTACAAATATGATAATAACCTGTATTAGGAGGATTGAACTCGCAATTTTGGGAAAAAACATATTTAAGTTCATATAAAATTACTTGCTCAAAATATATTATATGAATGTCATATTGCTCTATAATGCTGGTAATAAGAGCAAAATAATTGGGACAAAATTGATAGTTTTGCTATGATTCTAGAGTNTTTATATGTAGGCATTAATCAACATTGATGGAAACCTATCTGTCAACTGCTTCATTTTCATTTACTAAGATGCGTGTACTCCTTTAAGATAAAAATCTACCTCATCGCAATAGTTATTTGTTTCAATAAATAAATAAATATTTATTTATTTCAAATGGCAGGCGTTTTGATAGTCATCATTAGGCATTTAGCTGACTTCGGTCTTCACAGAGAGAAGGAGGAACATCAAAGT